TCATATCTGCGCTAGGAGCAAGTAAACCCTCTCATTGAGAAAATACCAAGGCTACGTCTACACTGGCAGCTTCTTCCAGAAGAACAGCTGTTCTTCCGCAAAAACTTCCTGGCTGTCTATACTGCATGAGCGTTCTTCCAGAAGTAAATTTACAGTATAGCGTTGTAAAACAGGGCTTCTTCCGGAAGAGTTATTCCTCTCCCCACGAGCGCTAGGAGCAAGTAAACCCTCTCATTGAGAAAATACCAAGGCTACGTCTACACTGGCAGCTTCTTCCAGAAGAACAGCTGTTCTTCCGCAAAAACTTCCTGGCTGTCTATACTGCATGAGCGTTCTTCCAGAAGTAAATTTACAGTATAGCGTTGTAAAACAGGGCTTCTTCCGGAAGAGTTATTCCTCTCCCCACGAGGAATAAGCCCTCTTGCACAAGAGCTCTTTCAGAAGAGGCCAGTGTAGACAGGCAACATGAATTTCTTGCGCAAGAAGCCCCTATGGTTAAAATGGCCATCAGAGCTTTCTTGTGGAAGAGAGCGTCTACACTGGCATGGATGCTCTTGCGCAAAAGCACATGCCAGTGTAGACACTCTCTTCTGGAAGAGTTTTTGCACAAGAACTCTTCCGCAAAAGAGTTCTTCCAGAAGAAGCTGCCAAAGTAGACGTAGCCCAAGAGTAAATAACCACATGGGCCTCTTTCCACACCCCCTCAATAAGACAAGGTGTCATATAATCTAATTTAAATGTGGACATACAGATTACTGCTGCCACCCAGTTATATCACTGCAACAAAACTTGTGCCAAGTAGGACTCATGGCTGCTACTATAATTATCTGCACCTCTGCAGGTACAGGTAATTGCAGCTCCCATTGTCCATGGATCCCATTCCTGGCCAATGGGAGTGGCAGAAAGTGGTGCCCCAGTCTGCTTGGCTTTCCACACCTCCCATTGGCCGGGACTGGCGATCATAGATAATGGGAGCTGCAGTGACCCATACCTGCGGAGGCAGAGGCAAATAAAGCGACCGCCCACAGGGGGTTAACCCTGGTGAACCACTGCCTTTTTACTGCCAACCTCTGCTGTAGAGGCATGTGAAAAAAAGTATATGAATGGTAATTAAGGCTATTCAATGCTACTTAAGCTAGAATTTTGAAATGCAAGCCTGTATTGTTAGAAATTAGAGGTAATATTTATATTGTATAGATGCTAACCATGTAAACAGACATTTCCTGTCTATCACTATAACTACTGATTTAAAGATCAAAAGCTAATGTTAACATTTAGATGAATCTTAGGTGAGAAAATGCCATTATTAAGATACCTCTTTAATCACGGTGATAAACTCCTTAGGGGATAAATTACCTTATGTTAATTACCTGATGTATAATTACCATGTGGTTACATCAAAAGACTATTGTGCTCTCCCTTTGGACACTGTTTGTCTCCTATGTGCTTGGATGCTCCTGGGGAAAGCTTCAAGCCATAAGAAAGGATAGCTCAGAATATCCTGGGCATTTTAAGGCAACTGTATGGTTTGGACTTCTGATTGACCCATAAGGCGGTTTTGTGCTGGATTGGTGACTATGAACAATAGGAATAATCACCAGTTTTGGGGATTGGATGTCCATGTCTTGCAGTGTACTCTGAGTAACTTTAGCTAGCTCTCCTGGGCCCTCTGTGTATCACATAAGGTCCATAAGCAAGCTGCTATCTTCTACTACAGAAGTGAGAATAAATAGACAAGAACACATTCCAAAGCAATTTCTATGACATGTACCTTTATTAGTGTAGGTGAATGTGACAGAATTATGCTGAATATGTTAATGGTAGACTATGTAATTGATTGATGATATTCAGCTTCAGTCTTCAAAAGGCGCAAGTTAAACTTGCGTACGTTAGAGCTTTGTGTATACAATGACAGTGAAAATACTAGGCCAAGTGCTAGTGAGATAATAGAGATGGGGAACACAAAATGTTGGAAAAAAGTAGGAGCAGATCAGCATCGGTTTCCACTATAGGAAATGTGCAGTTGCTTTAGCAACATTTTTTCTTATTTTTGTAATCCTGGAAAATCTTCTTGAAAATGAAACAGAGCACAATGGCAAAACAGAACAGGTAGTGCTTTATAACAAAATAGAAGGCTAGCTCCCTCACTGTGTAAATGAGGTGTATAAAGATAAAACAGTATAGGAACAAGGTGTACTGGTTTTGGGGCCGGAGTAGGTCATGGAGTCCTTGGCCAAACTGTGGAAAAAGGAAGAGAGATGCATGACATTGCAAGATCACATTGTACAAACTATTTGGTTCACATGCTCCTGCTCAGCATGCTCAGTCTGCACTGTATGTTACTGCCAGTCTAGTCCATGCTCTGAATGAGCTCATAGTCACATATTAATCTTTCAGTAACTAAAAGCTCAATCATCTCCAAATACCTACTTATATAACCTGTATATGGGAATTGTTAGGCCTTATGTTAATAAAGAAATTGGCGGTTTCCTTCTTTGATTGAGCCTGGAAGGGTGGCACTATACACTGGGCCTGATTCTGATTTCATTTACACTGGTAAGTCCATTTGTGTTACTGTAAATGACAGTGTAAATGAGATCACATTCCTCCTACAGTATTTGTTTCCAAACTATACACAAAGACGATGTTACAGGTAATTTTAAAATCTCTGAGGCCAGGTGTGCACTACAGCCAAAGGTTGGCTTATGGTATGCAATTCCAACTACGTAAAAAACATAGCTGGAGTTGACGTTCCTTAAGTTGATCTTTGGCGCTGAACTCACAGAGGGAGGTCAATGGCAGAAACACTCCTGTTGACTTCCCTCATTCTTTATGAGGAGTAGGAGTTCCGGTGTTAACAGGGACACCCTCAGTGTTTGATTTAGCAGGACTTTACTAGACCTGCTAAATCAAACACCAGAAGATGGCCCGCCGCAGCGTTGCTCTTCTCCACAGTCTAGATAATGGCCTGAGTTTGTATAGCACCTTAACAAGTGGGGTCCTCAATCCTGACTGTGGCTCCTAAGCTCTACTGCAGTACAAATAAAAATGCAGACACTTCTACATACCTTGTGCTAACTAGCAGCACAAAGCCTTCAAGAAATGCTAAAGGTATATACACCCATCTTACCAGACATAACACACAAGTAGCAGGCTGTCAGTTCCTATTCCTTGCACCAGTAACCAGCTCTTGAAAGTGAGAGGAGAAATAGCCCCAGACACAGCAACAGTGACAAGAAAACCCACACAGCTGAGACTTGTAAGTGGCACATCTGCTAAATCTTTCTGCCTCTGTCAGAAATTATCTCCTTTAGACTGGACACCTGGTAACCATAGACTAAATCCTACAACCCCTTGACTATGTGATTTCAACAGGGCTATTTGTGTGAACAAATAATAGCAAATTTTGGCCCATCCTCTATATTTTTCGAGGCTTGGTTATTATATATCTAGCTGCTTTCACAGTTGGCTGTTATGATATCCTTGTGGCTTGGTCATCTAACCGTATATCAGGAACTCACTCAGAAACTGTTCTAGCAATAAGTCCTCTGTGACCTGTTCAATGAGGCAGGTCCTCATTGTTTTCCTACCCAGTGGCTGAGTAAACCCAAACACTAAACAACAGCCAAACCATGCAACGTGCCCCTGAGGGTCATTTGGTGCCCTTCAGAATCTGGCACCCAGGTCAGCTGCCCTGATCATCTGCATGGAAAGAGGGCCCTGAGATAATCAGAAAAACCTCAGTCAGATCCATTACTCTGCTGTATTCATCATTTGGAAAACATTCCTTCTATGTTTTTCTTAAGCCCATTGAACTTTTCCTGGTAAACTTAATTTCCATGTTAGAAGTACTGTAATAACTCATTTTAATTTTATCACAGTCTTAGAGGACTGTTTATATGGGAGGCAGTATCTTGACTTCTCTGTGAGCAAAAGGCTGAGCTATAGGGATCACATTCTGAAGTATAATTTAGAAGCTGGATGAAAGTGTTCTCGAATACTCAAATCAGTGAGGCTTTATGGAAGTGTGAAAATAGCTTCCCTCCCTGTCATGCTTTTTTCCCATTCCCACTTACTGATCTGGATGTTGCTTGCTGATTTATCTCCTCCATAGTCTTTTCATGCTGCCGCTGCTTTTCATTGTCTTCATGTTTGTGTTTCAGCCTCATCAGTGCAGAATCCCACCTCATCTTCTCCAGCTCGAGGTCAGCAGCTGTGATGGGCCTGTTGTCTGGTTGTGCCAGCTCCTCCAGATTGCTGATCTCACCCATGCTGGTGAATCTTTCTGGCTGCAAAGTGTCACCTTCTCTCTTTGTCCTGTTCTCCACATGGACTGATTGGCTCTTGCCATCCAGGCCCTCTGTCATATCATCTGGGATGTACGATGATGTTGGGGTTCCTCTGGAAGCATCCTGGTGCAAATTGGGAGAAGATATAAGTTATATTTCAGCTGATATAAGAGACCTAATCAGGCTCTGAGGGTCAGATTTGACCTCATGTACCTAAAACTTTGGGCAACGAAAGATTCACATTCTGGCTCACTAATCATATAATATCTACCAGTTCCCTTTGAAAAGGGTGTTTCATAGAGCTGCTTGGGAATTTTCTGAGGATTTTTTTTTTCAACAGAAAATTAAATTTCTGCAATTTTTTTTCTACAGGAAAATCTAAATGAACTATATTATTGAGGTCAGATCGGGTCAGAATATTTTGGTTCATTGAACCCAATCAAAATGCTTCATTTCTTGTCAGTTTAACATTAATCTGCTGCGTCCTTCCAAGCAGCTGCTTTGTGAGAGAGGTACATCAGATGTCCCTTGTGCCCACTTTCCTTAAGGGGCTGTGCTCCCTGGCTGGATGATATCTCCTATTGCATACCATGATCTTACCTCTGGCAGAATTTTCACTACCACTTACCATTTTCTCATGCTGCTGCTGCTGCTTGTTGTCTTTATACTGAGCTATCTGCACAGTAAGTTCAAACCCTGTCTGCATCTCCTTTAATGCGGTACAAGCTTGGTTTGAGTACTCCGACCCCTCCAGGCTGAGCCGCTCCAAATCGGCTTGTGTCTCTTGGTCTTTAACATGTAGAGACTCTGTCTCAACATGGGAAACATCTGATGATGACAAGGTATCCCTGGATGTGTCCTAGCACGGATTAGGGAAAATCATTAGCAGGTGAGCCCTAAAAAGCTAAGGGGCAGATATTGAAAGGTATTTAAGCACCTGCAAATGCAGATAGGTGCCTAGTACGATTTTCAGAAGTCGGGTGCCTAACTCCCATTAGAACCACTGGACATTAGGCACTGAGGAAATTCTGAAAACCCTACCCTGCACCTATGTGCATCTTTAATCTTTAAATATCTGGCCCAAAAGTGTATGCAAGGATGAGATGAAATATGACACCATCCTCTTCTCTACCAACCAAGAAGGTATGCGGCATCATTTTACGGTCTGGCATAGCATAACCAACAGACTCCCTAGGACTCTGGGGAGAATAGTGTCTCTTTTCTGGAAGTAAACTCCCTTGTGCAGATGCCACAGATTGGAGCAGCCCCTCAGTGCCCTCAACACAGAGCAGTACTTGCAAAACCTACTAATCAGGGTGGAAAGCATCTTTTCAACAGACTCATTTGAAATAAGAGTGCAACCAGTTTCTTATCCTGAGCTACACAGTATGTAGTTAGATGTTTTATGAAGGAGGCATGAGCCACAGCACTCATCTTTAAAGGAAGATTTAGATTTAGATTTAGATTTAGATTTAGACAGGAAACAAAACTCTTTCTCTAATGCTCCTGAGCTATGTTGTTACCTAAAGCTGATGAAGAAGATAAGGAAAAGTGAAGAATTACCATAACTGATTCAGGCAGAAAAGTGGTGGTGGAGCCTAAACTAGACATTAGAGACACATGCAGCAGCCACCTTCACAAGTCCCCCATGCAGACAATTCAACACCAGCTGCTCTGGCAGACCCACACCATTCAAACCCAGACCCAGCTACTTTTCCAAACTGCCACGGTGATGTCATAAAATGCCACACTCTGCTGACATCATAATCACTCTGTTGCCACAACACATTACATGATCTCTGTTGCTAAGAGTCTGAACTGTCACTTTAGCTGTCCTCCCACATCCTCACTATTATCACTGATGTAAATCATTAGTGCTGGAGAAAAAGAAAAGATCCAATGGTTAGGGCAGCAGCCTGGATCTTAGGAAGTTCAGGTTCAATCTCTGCTCTGCCACAGACTTGCCTCTGTAACCATGCACAAGTCATTTAATCTCTCCATGCCTTTGTTTCCCATCTACAAAATAGGGATGAGTGTACTTCACAGGCATGATGTGGGCATTTAAAAGAGTGTAAGGTACTTAGCTACTATGGTGCCAGGGGTCTTAGAAGTACTTTAGATAAAACAGATACTGTGTTCTGTTTGGTCTGGGGCATGAGTGAAGGAAATATGAGGCTCCAAAGTTGGCCTATGTATTATTAGCGTTTATAAGGCACCTATCAGCATGGAATTTGTCACTTACATGTCATGTAACTAAACGGTGGGCTTGATTCTTGAGAGCCCTGTAATTTGTGTAGTCATCTATGACAAGGCAATGTGGGTGTGTCCCATTGTAGGTAATATGTGGAGAGCAGGATTGCAGAAGCTATTAGTGAGACAGGTTTATTGAATTATTGACATCACCCCTACTACATCATTTATCCAGTGTAGTGTCAGTTTGGATTTTCACATCCCAGGCCTGGGGCACCCAACCTGATAGATGAGTGCACAGAATCCCATCATTAGCACTGAATATGAATTTTTAAGAGCTTTTTTTGAAGATCTTATTATTTTGGTAGGTGGACTGGTGCGAGGTATTTGTGCAAGTGGAGAATTAGGGATGTGCAGAAAGTTATGCAGGTTTGCCTTCTAAGTCAATGGTACAGGGGTTCCCTGGAATAATTTTCATATCAGGGGTTCTGCCAATGGAAGCCATGTGTTAGGTGTTTGTATCACTACTGCAAGCCAGGGGGTGCAGCAGCACCCCTCCTCTTTCAGCACTATTGCAAAGCTGGAGTGGAAATATGAGTCCTCTCTTATGCTTTTTGCAGTGAAGTTTATTGCATCCCATGGCCACTGCAGAAATAGTGATGCCTCACAACAGAATTGTGGTACGTTTACTCAGATTCTCAAGATGTCCTCCTGAAAAGATCTTCCTATAAACCTAATGGAAGGGTTATGAAAGGACCAAGTGCTATGGTGAACTGGGGAGAAGTCAGTTTTATAATACATATATGTTTTTGCGGAATGGTATTGGCAGAGAGAAGGCATAGGATGTGTTTGCTCAATAGACATTGCGGTTATGCAATGTAATAAACCTTTCATCAGCTCCTTGCCAAATTGCAACCCCCACAAACTTCTGTGATCAAAGCAAGTGAGGTGCTGAACCATGTCAACTCCCCAAGGTTTCAGAGGGACCTGGAAAGTGCTCAGCACCTTTTATTTTATATATATATATATATATAT